AATAAAAATATTGTTAGCCAGCGTAGTGGATCGGTAGTTAAGGTCGGTCGGAAAGTATCTTTTCGGAAGTGGTAATGCGCTTGCGATGATTATGAATTGTAGTAATAATAGTTTGGGCGCAATTGTCATACGAATGAATGAAGATAAGAAGAAAGCTCTCTCCTGCATTATAGCAAGAATGATAATAAGGCAGTGAAACGAGCAGCATCAAAAGCAGTTATAATAGGTACGTAAAGCAAAGAAAGCATGCAGCATCAAGCACATTTAAGACATACATCAAGCATATTTAAGACTGCAGATACAACAAAGAAGGCTTATGAAATGCATACTATAAGCATGAATCTTTTATGCTAAGAACATATTTGTACACAGATAAAGATTGATAGGTAGATAGGTAGGTAAGATGTATTCTCTGTCATGTCCATGTGTATGTATATGCATTTAAATATATCTTTCGTCACATGTCAGAATATACTTCATTCATCTATATAATAATGTTGTTCAAGCGAACCTCACAATCATAATCGTAATTCTTTCTCATCGTAATCATTATTGCCGTCATCATCAGCATCGTAATCATCCTCATCATCTCTTCAGTATAACTACTGCTCACCGGAAGCTTTGTAGTGAACAACAGCCCAGCTAAAAGCGGCCAGTTTACCAAGGTGGTGCTGTCGTTTACTGGTAGCATTTGCTTTAACTGTTTGTTAGTTAAGCTAGGGACAGAGCTGCTTCCAATGTAGTCATAATCATCGTGGGGACCAAGTTAATGCAGCTGCTGATGTCTTAAAGTTAGTGTCTGATGATTATGATAATAGAGGAATACAGGTGGATGAATAGATGATGGATTTTCTTTAGGTTGTACTTACGAAGCTGCTGCAAGATGTTAGTGATATAACCGTTAAACGATGACTCAAGCAAGTTTCAACTTGTCTGCTGCCTTTTACTTCTTTTGAGTGAGTGATCACCAAGAATAATTTCCAGCTACTTACCTGTCTGTCGTCAATCTGTCATTAGTACTTAGCTATATGCATGCTTGGATAACGTTCACTGGATATAGACGCAGGTGAATGAATCAACAAATGAATCAATGCACACAAAAACACAAGTTTTTAGACTAGATAAACCAACTTAGAGAGTCAAATAAGATAGTTATCATATCACATAAAAGATGAAGAAGCTCACGATTAACTTTCAACATTACCATGAACAATCTCTAATAACTATCACAAACAGCCTTTCAATCTTGCTACCAGACATCAAAACATTTATTAGACACTGTTATTTAGCTGAGATATTATCACGTTCAGACATCACCAAAGTGATTAGAGACCGTCGCATCAGACAGTCATACGTCTTTCGTAAACAACTAATAAGGGTTACATTTGAAAAGCACCGTATACCTAATGTCAGTTGATAAGTGAATACATGAGAACTCGTATACTACATTGAACGTTATCAAATTATTTATTTGCTTACTCATGAATGCTTCTGAAAGAAATGAATAAATAAATTAATAAAGAAACACCTCATGTAGTACCATTGAACAATATTCTATGGTAATAATTTTAGGTTGCCTCATTTTTCATGTTCATTGGCACAAATCAATGCTTTTTATTGATTTGACTGTTCTTCTGCATTAGTTGATACTACAAAGATTTCATGATCAGTATTCATCATCATTATTGGCATCAGTGTTGCTATTACTATCACCGGCATTATTACCTTTGTTACTGCTATCAAGACCAGTGTCATTGCTGTTGCATTCGTTTCTGCAATCAATCTGTGAACTGATTCCAGAAAGCAATCAATGATGCGAACGCTCTACTTCTTCTCAGTTTAATACGACCGATTCCAAACGCATCGAAAGATTGTGTCAATGTTATGGTTCGATTCATACAACATAAGGTTAGACAGTCTACTAATACTGCTTACTGCTGTTTTAACAACATTATGATATTGGAACCAGTGGAAAATTGCGATTAAAAATTTTTATCCACACATTTTTGGAAATGGTGTATCTAAGAATGCACTATCGAATATCCTTAAACAATTAAATGAATAAAGCGTTGTTAATGAAATATATGAGCTAAAAGGAATAGTAATGAAATCTGAAGAATGATGCTAGTTGCTTCAGCAGTTTTTTTAAATAATGCAGGTGAACAAATCTTATTCGAAATGATCAAATACATTATGTTCATATTTAATACATTATGCTTGCATTATTTATTTATAATATATTCTCATTATGATGCTGATTGGTCGTTGCACAACCATTATCCATCGTTATCGTTTCTTATTCGAAGATTATCATCTTTAGATCATTAATGATCACTGCATTGTTTTTTACCATTATTTTGATTACTGCCATTGACTCGCTTATTGTAAGTGATGTCCTCAACGTCCATCATCGCCAAACCACATGTAAACGTATGCACAATACCAATCCACAGCATACAGCTTTATTCATCTATCTATGCATCGGTCAAATCCCGTTTGCCGCCCGCCTTATTGCAGTCTTCCCTTCCTTGCTTCAGCGTTCACCTGTCCTTTAATGACCTTTAGAACAATGAATACAATTATCCCGCTTCTATCGCAACCCACCTCACCTCATTACCTTGCATGATCCAATCAACTCAAATCTTCTCCTTCTCCTTATCCCGTTTATTTCATTACCATCTATCACCTATTTTCTCATCATCATCATTAAACAATCAAAACTAAATCTCTCATTGATTTCTTCTCATTATAACTCCCATTCATTCATTCATGTATCCTTCCTTCCTTCACTATAACAACGAGCACGTTCAGGAAACAACAGCAACACATGTGCTATATTCACATAATAACAATAATAATAAGAATGATAATAATAATGCCTTAATTACTTCGGTTGTTCGTTGTCTTCCAAGAAACATGCAATCAGGTAACATCATACATCATTTAATTCAAAAGTAGATAATGCTCGTAGCTTTGGACTTGAGCTCGCATTAGCTTGCATTATTTATGCGATTATTGATCATTCCTTATTGATCAATGACGCAGTATTGAATTCAAAAGAGATCAAATTTATTTTATTGAGAAAAGTGCAGGGGTCAAAAAGTACGTATACGCATGGTTGGTTGTTAATTACATAAGTTTACTTCAAAATGCTTCCTTTAATCATGCAAGAGTGCAGATAAATATCATTAATGATATGAATGTAATATTATCGAATATTAGGAAATACCTGGTAATATTAGGTAATTATGCAATATTAGGCGATAATGTGATATTAGGTGAGATGATATTGATAATGTAATACTTACGTAACTTATGAAATATGTACATAAATAAATACATGCTTGATATGTTGCTACTGCTCTAATAGCTAATAAATTACAAAAATGAAAAATGACAATATGTGAGCTTGCTGACGAACATACATACATTCTACTAAACAAATCTATAAAATCTTCGAGAAAGCATTGGTGATGAATTCTCATCAACGATCGTACGATGAAATCGTCATAATACGTTTCGTTAGCAGAACCTCATCACCACCACCAACTGCACTGCTTTACACTCACTCAAAAATTCGAAATGTAGGTGTGTATTCAAACGAGTCGTGAAATTGATGAAAACGAACGACTTATAGCAGACCGCACAATTTCAATGGACGATTATTGGCGAGAACATCCTCGACAAGATGAAAGGTCAGTTTGCCAGTCTCTAAACAAGAGCAGCCATTTTTCTTTGATTAATTCATTCTCTTCTTTACGTATTTATTGAATCAATTGTTTTTGAAGTTAATCCATCCAGTTCAATTCTGTTAAACTCAATCGGCCATTGTCATCATTAATATCATTATCATTCTCACTTGCAGTTCAAACGTTCATCCATTTATTTACCTTATTGTTCACGTTCATCCATCATCAATCCATGAAATCTATTCAATTATCTAACTTTCCATTATCCAATCAAATCAATCATCTCTTTCCCCTTTCACTTTTTACCCTTGGCACAGATTTTCACCTCCTTTGCACTCCCTTAGGGCATTCAGTTATTCAATTGAATAGCAGCATATACAACCAACCAACGGAACACATATGCGACTGCTAGTGGCGTTGACTGCTGTTATGACTGAATAAGATCTGATCTGATATCATAACTGTGATAAGGTTGCTCATACTGATACGTTTTATAACGTGTTAATATTGGTCGAATTCAAGCACACTCTTGTCTGCAATTGGTTTATTCATCTACTGTTTGCCTGAGTGTTCGGGAGTGGTCATCTTCGTTTTTGGTTGACTATTGTTCATAATTATCAATATCATTTTAATTACCATCATCAACATATCACACGCAAAGCTTCCAACCTCCTACGACATTTAACCCCACCTTCCCAGCCGTATAAAACACGGTGTCCAATCCAGTTTTTACATCATTTAATTTGTGTTTGATTCAATTCGGCCATGATGATCCATCCCTTCCTGGATTGCAGTTCATTTCCATCGCCAGTATCATTACAATAAATACCGCACTCGTTATTTTCATCCTATTAACTATAGAAATATTCGACCATTATCATCTTTGCTTATGACCGAATGAGGTAGATGAACATGCATATATAGGTGTTTTGTGTATTATTCTATTTGCCTGTAGTAGCCACTCACAAGTTTATTCTCCTCAAATAACATTGAGCCTCTTAGAAGCAGTTAGCGTTAGATAACAGACGGATGAATAGTATTTTCAAGTCTGTCAGTATTACTAGAGAAAGATCTGGTTTACTTCGTTTCTGGTTTACTTCGACCTTACATCGAGGATGAATGGACTCGGTTAGCTATGGTCCATGCATGCGACGATCTCAGAAAATTGACTTGAGCGCGGCTAATAAGCTTATTCACTACTCAAATTTGAACTGTGAGCTGTTTCCACCCCTTGGCAGGTATATACTCGAAAAATCTTGAAATAGCTACGCCTCAGTTGATTACAGTTACTTTAATCATTTCGTATGTTTGTTCAAGACTCTCATCAAATATGTAGATCGACTCATTTCAGAATATGCGATTCTTCGCTTTGTGTATCCACGTTTGTCCTATTAATTTAACTAATTGTTTTTTTGCATTGCTAACTTACAACCAATAATGATACAATCAATAAGAATAATGCGATAATGATTTTAATGAATCACATCTTATCATCTGATTTACTTAATACTCATCATTATTATTGGTGGTTCTTAGCGCGTAACATTGTTTTTTATTTTCAAAATCTAATCATCTATCTCATTATATCGTCATCAAATCAATTATCCTATCATTACATCATGACTATTGTCATCATCAACATCTTTTCATAACTAATGCGTGATTATTTTTTCATGAAGATAATATTAATGACAGTTAGTAATAATAATACATTCGCAATAAATTTCACTTTCATTCCACTTGTCCCACTAACCCATATTACGCCATCGATTCAACATTCGTTTCACTCTCACTTTCATTATCTTTCAATCAAATCAAATCTCTTTTTCAAATTGTTTTTTTCGTTTGTTTGTTTTCTCCACTGTCATCATCAATCTTGTTTTGTAATCCACTTGCGCATCGTCATCATCTCGACCATCATCTTTATTGTAAATTCATTTCAATATTCTTATCTTATCAGTGCAGTTGTCATTTCTGCTTGTGGATTAACCGACGGTGGTCAAGGCTAATGCATACTTTCATCTATCCACAATATGGGTGACGTGCACAGTCTCGGTGCAAACTGAATAACGATAGTTCGCGCAACTTTGCGATTTTTACTAATATTATGATAATTGTTTCTGTTACCATTATCATAAATAACAAAATTAAAATGAGTCTTTCAAATTCAGTACTGCCCACTGCTCGCAACAACATCAACAACAACATTCCTATTCTCATCATCACCATCAACAACAACCTCAACCACACCAGTGCCCACTTTGCCCAAAAAGTTTCTCATCGGCCAGGTAGATGATAAATACACTAGGAGGGCACTTATCCTCCATACCATTATTGTTTTTTAACGATGATATTATCACAGGGATCAAAGTATAGTTACAACAATCACAAATCACACGATCAAACGCCTCTCAAACTTTCAGCTACACATTAACTAGATGAATATGTCAAAATTATTTGACAAATCTTCCAAATTATCAAATAATTTTGACATATTCATCCAAATGCCTCAATTATATACCGCAAATACTACCTAACTAAATGAATAAATATGAATTTTGCAGTGGCCTTAAACAACATAGTCATATACACTGTAGCTCGAAACCGTTTCGTTGTCACATTTGCAACAAGGCTTATACACAATTCTCAAATCTTTGTCGACATCGACGCATTCATTTGGTATGTTCATTCTATGTTCACATCTTGTAATCTTTATAGTTATGAAGTTGGTTTGATCATCACTACAATTATAAGTAGCACTGTATCATTATTATTGACACTGTACATCATTATTATTGCTATTATCCCTAAAAACATTCACTTTTGACACTTATATTAATAATATTTCAGGACGGTTGGCAATGCGGATATTGTAACGCATCCTTTCCAAGTCATTCAGCACTTATAAAACATCGCACAACTTGCGAAGCGCAAATGACCGCGTTAAGCGCTTTTTATAAACCAGTTGGTAGGTTACAAAAATAATTATTCAGTCAATTAGTGATAATAACTGAGTGAATAAAGAAGTAATTTTTAGCAGCGCAACAATCTCTGTTAACCGTTCCAGCTCATTACTGGCCACAACTGCTGCAATTAGCTTCATCCTCTGAACAACAAAACAATCACCAACAGTTGAATAGTCTCAATGCGGCCGCCATTTCGCTAAGCAACAACTTTAATCATCATCCGTTTTCTGCGACGTCTTCCCTTCTTTCGAATAGCGATTTCATTTATCGGTATGTTACGGGGGGAGCGTCTGATGGCGAAAGTTCACCCAGAAGCAGGTTTGTTAGTGATGCTTGTTTGCTTCATTTCAGTTTTTAAACAATAATCAAATAATCGTCAGGATAACTTTGATGAGCCCATTCCAACTTCAAAAGCATTATGGCACAGTTCTTAATAGAGCATCAATAATATCCGATTATTAAAAATCAGTTTTATTATTGTCATTATTGATAATATGAATAAGCACTATCAGTGACGATTTTGCTGTTGTTGTTATCATCATACTGAAATAGACAGTGAACTTTGTTGAAGTGGACACGTTTCTGAGCTGTCTCCATCCGAACGTAAATTGATCAGTCCAGTCGAGTCGAATGGTTTGGGTTTGGGTGGTGAAGACGACGATGGAAGTTGCTCAATGGAGGAGCTAGAGCTCAGCCCGTTGGATTTATCGATGAAGACAAAAGAAGAAATAATTGTGGATGATGATTTGGATGTCGATGAAGGTGTGGGTGGTGCTATGGATGAGAACGATAGCTTGAGTCATCAGGATGCGAATGTGAATGATAATGATAATGGATCAACTGAAGAGGTGATGAACGAGAAGAGTGCGGCTGATAACGATAGACAAACTGAGGTTGAGGTTCAAGTTGAGGTTGAAGAAGATGGAGAAGACGACGAGCATGCTGATGATACTGATGACGTTGATGATATCCTCGACGAGGATGATGATGAACACCAAATTCAAATCACAACGAGCAAAATGAATGCGTGCAGGAACGATCGCAATAGATCACGCTCTACGTCTGAAACTGCAATTAGCTCAGCTACTTCGGCTGCTGCTACTGTCAATAGTGATGTTCGCAGTAGTGCCCTTATCACCAGCACAGAAAATGAATTTAGTTCAGGTTCTGGTTCAATTTTAAATTCATTTTCGAAGCAATTTGATTTTAACCTCTCACTATACAACTTATTCTCTGAATTCCAATACATAACCATAGAGTCTTTCTTAAAAACACCATAGAGCAGTTTTGTTCTTGAATTATCGCTCCTCTTTTGATTTGTATTTTTTCAATCAGTTACATCTCCTAGCACGTGCACAAGTAAATGCCTCTTTTACAATACCATTAAATTTGTACCATTTCCATTGTTCCCTTTTTTAAATTCAAAAATCTTCCATTTAATGAGACAACTGTAACGAGAAGGCAACCGTATTGAGCATAGGTTCTGATGAGCTCTGAAAAAAGTCCCTTCCAGAGTCGGTCTATTTGTCCGTTCCATATCCTATTGAACAATTTTATCACCGAACCGTTCATTCATTTTTAAAATTAATCAACAATTGATTTTTAAGGGCGATTAGGCGTGCTTAACTGTGGTGGTCACAGTCACAATCATCCGAATAAAGTTGCTTTAACGCCATCCATAAATCCCTTCTCATCAAATGCTTTTATGCAAATGTTACGACGACCATTTTCTTATCCAGCAGCAATTCTGCAAACTGCTGCAGCTGCAGCTCATCTGGCACCATTTCAAGCGTCTCAAGCACCAACGATCACAACGACTCATCAACAACCTCCTTCCAGTCATCATCATATCCATCAACAAACCACAACTTCACTACACAATAACCACCAGCATCAAATCACCAATAATCATAATCACCATGTGACCACAAACGCTTCAGCGAATAATCTACAGTTATCAAAAAACAATCGAGATCGTTACACCTGCAAATTTTGTGCGAAAGTTTTTCCGCGATCCGCAAATCTCACCAGACATCTTAGAACGCATACCGGCGAACAGCCATACAAGGTTTTTGTTAACATCATTACCATTATCACTATTATTACTATCAATAGCGCTCTTATTAGTATCGTCATTATTGTAACTGTTACTACTATTATCGGTAATATTAATATTTTGAAGTATTTCTGCGTCAGACTGTGAGGTAGACATGATTATTCACTATCAATAATGTGTGCCACTGTGTCGTCGTTGTTATCGAAATTTAACAACTCCCAACGGAACGACAATCCGTCAACATCAACCTTAAACCTTTAGATAGGGCAAGTGACAAGGGCGTTTTTTGACTGAGAAACAGAGAGAGAGAGAGAGAGGAAGGAACAATTGAAAACGATCAAAAAATAAACCAACGAACCAACCGGTTCGGTGATGATGATGACGATAGTAATGATGAGATCATAATTTGTTATATCAAAGAAATAAATGCTGATCTCATTCATCGCATATTGTATCATCCATCTCATCATGATATTGAATAATCATTTATTAATATCTATTATCCATTGTTATTATTACACCATATGAATCTACTTCCCTGCTCGTCATCTGTCTTCCGTGTCACAGGGTCGTAATCTTAATAACAACAAAACCTTTCTTCACTGCTTTCATTCTTTCTTAATTTCCACTCTTTTATTCATCAATCATCCGATCGCATCATTTTTCATTCACCTTTCTAAATTCTCAATCCAAATCGAATCAAATCTAATCAAATGAAAATGAAAGCTTTTATTGAATATCAAACAAAACATTTCGTTCTTCCCCTTGTCATTTTTTCTTTCATAGTTCATTCATTCCATTTTTCAATGCCTTTATACTCATAAAAATATTCATTCATCCATAACACTTCCACTTCCACGTACATAAATATACGCGTACTGTCTTTTACAGTGTCAGTATTGCGAACGATCATTTTCAATCAGCTCAAATCTGCAACGACACGTGCGCAACATTCATAATAAAGAAAAACCGTTCAGGTAATTTAACATTTTTATCGTTTTTTGAATTAGTAATCATTATAATCACGGCTGTTCTCATTATTCTGATTATCCCATCTGAGTGCTTGCTTTATCTGACCATTTCAATAATCACCTAATAGCAGTTAAAAAAACGACAACAACATCGAGAAATAAGCAGTGAACATTTGAAGATGTGATCGGTGTGATCGCTGTTTTGGTCAACAAACGAACTTGGATCGTCATATCAAGAAGCATGATTCTTCAAGCACAAATAATTCAAGCTCAACTGCAATTACAAACGCTCTTTCATCAGCATCAACAGCAGCATCACCATTATCATTATTAACACCAGGCCAACAACCATCATATTCATCTCATCTACCGCTTGCCTCCTCCTCATTATCATCCTTATCACTGTCCTCATCATTTCGCTCCAATCAATCACCGTCTTCTTCATCCCCATCCTCCAATAATTCACTTCAATCACCCAACAACAACAAACACCAATCAACCACCTCGTACTCAGCTGCTATATCTTCTTCTTCTTCATTTGTCAAACCCTCAGTGTCCGATAATACCATCAATACTGATAATAACAGCAATAACAATGACAATAATAGCAAAGTCAGTAATAGTAGTGACAACGATAGCAGTAATCGTAAAGCAGCAGCATCACTGGTATCAAGCTCAACTTCGGCTTCAATAACTTCAACAACAACTCCGTTACTCGCATTCTCAGCACAAAGTCTCTTTTCTCATATCAATCAAGCTAAAACACCTTTTCCTTCGACTCGTCATCGTTTTTTCTAGCATTATTTTTTGTGTGCTAGAATTCGTTGTAATTAGTGACTCAAATGATCAATTCTTCGTCAGTAGTATTGTTGCCATGAAATGTGCACCATCATCTAGCTAATTTTTCGGTTCTAAATTGAGCAACAGAGAGAAACAAAAAGAAGAGGAATGCCTAAATCAATAAAATTGAAAATTCCAAAATTCATACGTACATACTTGATGCTTTTGTTAATAAAAACCGATTGCACTGAAGAAAATGGCCATCTTTTTCATTCAATGTTCAATGACATATGTTGACCACAAATGGCTTATTCAATAGCTTTTGATCATTCAATGTTTTGACTATAAACATATGACCGCAAGTTGGCTCAAAATTGTGCTTAGGTTCAAGCTCAAAGATACGATCAAGACTGTTTGATGACTATGAAATTCAAATTTTGTCACAGACGAACGTTCGAGTAGTTCGTCAGCAAAAGACGTTTGAGAAGGTGATGTTGTAGTAATATAATATATGTATGTGACCGGACAATCTGCTCAAAGACGTTTTGCCTAACGGACAGTTTGCCTAAGGAATGTATGCTTATTAGACAAAATATCCATGAAAAAGCAAAACGTCCTTAGGCAAAACGTCTTTAGGCAGATTGTCCGGATACCAATATGTATAGTATATATGTGTAGTATCGAGTCACATATCTGTTAGTATTTTCTTTTTATTATTGTTATTAGCTGTTTTTTGAGTTTTTTCCTCGTCTCGAGTTGAGAATCAGTTTTGATGAAGAAAATTCTCTTGACATTGTGTTTTTTCTTTAATTCATCACTTATTTGAGTGACTAATTTGTTCACTTATCACTTTATCACAGTTTCATCCTTTGTTGAGCATACAGTGGCTAGCAAACGCTTCGTAGTATACTTTAGCAGCCGGCTGCGTACATTCTCCATCACCTTACTATTTCATTTGAAAATTGTTGCCATATATGGCTTTCTTATATGTTCCTATATAATATATAATGTCATTTATTTATTTATTTGTTCCGTCACTGATTTACTTATTTGTTCATCAACTAATTTATTATTCATTTATTCGTTGAGTGATTTATTATTTAATTATTCGTTAAACTTACTCATTTTTCATTTGTTTTGTTGTTTCTGGTGGAAGGATCAATATTACTTATTTCCAAATGAAATATATATTAATCCAAATTACTTGTTATTTGTTAACATGTCAATTCATTGTTTGTTTATCGTGGGTGAAGTACAGTGTAGTATTTTTCATGCTGATTGCTGTGTTTTTAGTAAATGTTTATAGTGTTTCACTGTTGTTACTGTCATAAATATTATCGCTATTAATATTATTTTTATACTTATTACATACTAATGTTGTCAGTGTTTTTATCATTATTTTTACTGTCATTCGAAATCGACTGATATTTGTATTTATACATATTGGTTTATGGAAGAAAAATGTACATGTTGATAATTTGTGAAGATGAGTTCAATGACCAGACAATAGCCAATGACTGTGATATGAAAAGCAGACAAGGCAAAATACCTTGTGATTCAAAATACGATGAAGCTAGAATGCTAAAGAGATGGAAACCTCAGTGATATGTATAAAGCTGAAAAGCTATCAAATTTCAACACCTGAAATAACACATAAAAGCATGATAAATACAATGAAAGCAGATATTACAGAGACATTCAACGTTTCGGCATTATGCCATCTTCAGGAACATCTTGTTGAATCAATTCAGACAACATGTTCCTGAAGATAGCATGGCGCCGAAACGTTGAACATCGCTGTAATATCTCCAATTGCACGGGTAATATTTTGTGAACAAAATTACATTACTGCTTAATTCACCTATTACCACCATGCGCCTTATAAATGAAGAAAGCTTCCAGTAATTGTTAATCCTACGCAGCAGCAAGAGAGGATAAACTTAGTGTTTACACTGCGCGCACACAAATAAATAAATAACATCCATCTCAGACGGGGCTGCGATGCGCTCTTCCCCATTTGACCTGAGATGGCAAGCGATACAATATACGAACAATAAATGATTACGAAAAAACGAAAAAAAAGTAAAGGAAAACGTTCATTATTTATTGAATATTTTAGAAAATTTCAATCCTTTTGATACATCTTATTTATTACTTGAATTATTATTTCATTTATTATTCATGGCATTATCACAATTTTCTTTATTGTCATTATTAGCAGCATTATTACTTATTTTGCTTCAGTATTTTGAAACTGCTGGAAATTATTAAAGATTGGTGATGACAACATAATAACATAATTGCGCCGCCATTGGTAGCCATTGGGATAACTACACTTACTTCTTCTTTTGCTTCAACGTGGTCTGTTAAAGAAACCGATGTCGCCCAAGTCTCCAACCGTCCTTATTATTCCAGGCTTGGAACCGACACTGGTTTATCAGCGTGCCAACTTGCTTAACCCATAAACCTGTAAGTTCAGGTTTACGCAGCGGGGGTTTCGTATGACAACCTGCTTTAAGATCGAGTGGCTAGGTTAGAAGTTCAGAAGCTTTGAAGTGCTTCGAATATAATCAGCTGAAACACACATAAATCCTTAATCATAAACATCCATCTCTAATCCCCGACTCCAGCAACATATCTCGACCTCATCCAAACCAGTCACCATCCACCCAAGATCGTATCCAATTTAATTTAATTTCAGACTAAACCTCCAATTCTGAGTAGTTCTAACCTCCCAATTCTAATCCCAGATCCAGTTCTAGCCCTTAATTCAAGCAACAGGTTTCAACTCATTCAGTTCTCAAATCAATCAACCTCAACTCAAGATCTTATTCTATTCTAATCTCCGAAGAATCGCCATCCAATCATGCAATTTAATTTCAATCTATAAATTCAAGTCCAATGGTCTTAGCCCACCAGTTATAATCCCCCACCCAGCAATAATTCCAAGTCCCTAAAACATGACTCATATCACCTAATTCGTATCACTTCAGTCTCAAATCAAAATCACGTCCTATCGTATGCCCGAACAATCTTAAATTTTAGCGTCAAAACCAATCTCAGATTCTACCTTCAAATTCGAGCAATCCTACCTGCAAAATCCTGATCCCACATCCACTTCTAATCCCCATTGAAACAACTCGCTCAAACTCACCCAATCCCCCAGTTTTATATCCATTATATCCCTATCGCAGAAGAATCTCGGATCATCGGATACAGCCCAATCACAGACTAAAATTTCAAGTTCAAGCAGTCCTAGCCTTATAAGTACAGTCTCAGTCCTGTCCTGATTCCGAATCCCAATAAAGGATGCGGTTTGAGGACAGGGATAGTCACCCTAGCACTCCTATAGTAATGTGCACATTGATCAATAGTGATATAATGTATTGGAACGAG